CTCTCTCTCTCTCTCTCTCTCTCTCTCTCTCTCTCTCTCTCTCTCTTTCTCTCTTCACGGAATATGTCTCGCACGCACAGGCAAGCCGGGTGGTGCAGGTGGTGCTAGACGAGGAAACAGCTGTCCACAAAGCCTCCCGCCCGTTCATCCCCTTTTCCCTTTCCCTTTCCTTTTCCCTTTCCCTTCGACGCTTGCCACGCTGAACTTCTGTCGCCTCGAGTCCCTTTCGTTTTCGTCGTTGTCGTCATCACCCGGCATCTCGAAAGTAAGCTCTACGCGATATACTTCGGCTCTCTCACGTACTTCAACTCTCACGTACTCACATCGAGTTAATTTCGACCCGAGCGATTTTTTTTCCCTCTCTCTCTATATATATGTGTTCTTATTTTATACAGAAGAATGAAAGAGTATTTCCCCCGCAGTTACAATCCGTGACGTCGGGAGTAATTTGTGACTCTCCAGGCAACTCTCTCGTGATTCGCATATCTTCGCAATTTTCACATATTCAAGAACGTACGGAACATAAAGGCGATCTTTCTTTTCTCCTTACGTCTCTACCAATTTCGAAGAAAAATGTGAAAGATAGTGCTTTATTTTCATTACAACTACTACGAACACTCGCGGCAAAAAAAGGTACCTTCAGATTTCAGACACCAAAGATATATTTGGCTAAAAAAAAGTTTGTATGTATATCAGAATGGCTTGATATAAAAAGACTGGTTCAAAAGCTCGATTCCGACTTATAAGACGTTAACTAAAGAATTAAAAGTTATGCATAAAATAAATTGTAATTCGTTTCAGAAACAATAAATTGATATATAATCGGTTACTTCCAGTTCCGTAAATATTAGAGTTAAGATTTTGAAAAAATTCGAACATATTGTATTGTATGCTCTGTTCAAAGTCAAAGAAATGAACATCGAATTCAAATAATTCAAACTTGAACAGGCATGTCATACTGATTTGAGTTTCAACTGTTCAAACTGTTCGAACATACTTTCAGTTCGAAGGTTCGAATTATTAAACACTTGATCTTGAGATTCAAATGTTTAAATCCAATTAACGTAAAGACAATAAGCCTGTTCTTTTCAGTTCATCCTTCTTCCTTTTCTCTCTATGCTGAAGAGAACAAGAGAAAAGATGAACTGTTGAAGAAGTTCAGATCTGAAAAGAGCAGATCTAGTGAGTATTTAGATATTTAGCTTAAGTAGATATTCTTCTAGTACTTCGGTTAGACTGTAACTTATTAACACCCAAATCAGACTGTGTCAGTGGCGAGAGCCGGCCGGCCGGTCGACCAGCCGGCTTTTGCCGGCGGCGAGAAAAGGGCGACGAGACACACACGAGCGCCCTGAGTTAGGCGATTGTGTCGCGACGCGCGCTTATGGGGGAAGAAATGAAAAAGCCCGCGCGCGTTATGCCGACGGCGGTAGCATCGACAGCGGTGATGGTGGTGGCGGCGGCGGCGGCGGCGGCGACGGCGGCGGCGGCGTCGGCGGCATTCTAAATTTAGGAGTAAGTATTGATTTTACAATTTGGACCCCTCCCAAAGTAAAAATAAACCAAGCCGAACGTACTCTACTTTGATAGAGTGCCTCTCCTCTGCGCGGCTCGTTTCGACGCACAGGCCGCCGTCGGAGAGAGAAAAAGAGGGAGCCGCGCGAGGAACGAAACAGTGCAGGAGGAGACAGAGGAGAAGGAGGTACAGGTGGAGGTGGAGGTGGAGGTGGAGGTGGAGGAGCAGGAGGAGAAAGAGGAGGAGGAGGAAAAGGAGGAAGAAGAGGAAAGGGGATGAGGGCAGGAAACGAGGAAGAGAGAACCAGCGAGGGGAAGAAACAGGGTGGAAACGCGCGCGGGAGCGGCAGAGGAAGGGGGTAATAAAGAAGAGGAAGGGAGGTCGGTGGGCGAAGGGAGCAGAGAGAAAAGAGAGTGGCGAAATGCCGTAGTTCCACCCCAGTAAGAAACAAAGAACAGAAAATTGATCGTTTGTTAAGTTTTATGTTCCTACGAGGCAGGCGGCGAGGTTCGTCCGTCCGTCCGTCCGTCCGTTTCCTCTTTCGTCCTTCCCCACCTCTCGCACCTCCTTCCTTTTTCTCTTCCTCCTGTTTCTCGATCTTCATCCTCCCTCCCCCCTCCCTCCGTCTCATTTTCCCTCTCTCTTTCTCGTACAATAATACGAATCGAGAAAATTCTGCGCGGCGCGGTATGGAAAAAGAACCACGGGGCATGCAGAAAAACGCGAAAGAGACCGGGAAGAGAGAAAGAGAGGGGAGGACGAGCGAGGGCGAGGGTGGGAGGGAGGGAGGGAGGAAGGTACGGAGCCGGCAGGAAGGATAGGGGAGCGGGGGAGCGAACGAGAGACACGTGTATGCGAAAAAAGAGCAAGAGTCCGGGTCCGTGGAAACCGGACGGGATTGCATTCGTCGTCTGCTACAGATCGTCCGGGTTTTTGGCTGGGAATAGAATCCAATTATCAGGAGTCGGGTCGTCTCCATCAGGTCGAGCAGGAAAGGAGGGAGGAGGTGATGGGGCGATGATGGTGGCGCTACTCTTACCACGTTTCCTCGGGGTTTCCGCGTTTGACATATACATACACACGGGGGGACATATACATACACCCGTCACCAAACTTTTGATGAGCTCACCACCCCGAGCGATCCGATTACGCATCTATAATTAGCGACGGCGAGATAACGCGCGAGGTATCGGCGCGATCTCTCGGGAGAACGGAGAGAGAACAATACGGATCGTTTGGACATCGACCGTGATTCTTCGCATCGACGCGAATAAGTCCGCGGAGGTGCTCCCTTTCGGAACTCTAAATCGGATGACTGATTTCAATAGTGGGCGTATCCGATTTATATACTAGATAAATGGAACGCGAATCGTTCTATTGAAAACAATTGAGCATACAGTTATGCCTAATGGGACTATTCTGTATTGCAAAATGTAGTTTACTGTGTGTAGTCCAAAGATTGCATCACCGTCCTTATATCGCCCTAAAAGTCTAAGGGGAAAAAAAAAAAAAAAAAAACAAACACGTCAGCGATTTCCCGATAGGTCTTAATAGTAATAGCTAACGCGTGACTGTCTTACGAAATTAACGGAGATACAATAGAACAGTGATGACGTATTACGGGATCCATATTTCAGGGCACATAGGGGACCACGTTATAGATTTTGCTTAATATTACCGCTATTGAAGTTGTAATTCGACGAATGGTACAAAGAGCTAAGAACGTCAGTTGTACTTCTCTTTTTTTCAATTCTCTTCCTTGGCAATCAAAAAATATGCAGATAAAGGACTCTCAGGCCCGAGAAGCTGGGAGCTACGCTCTACATCAAAGACATTTTTTAGACACGACGCGATTTGTTAAAAGGGAGACGCTCGTGGGAACGCGCAGCGGAATTGGGGAGAATGCCACTTTTCAAAATTGCGGTCTTTTTGAGACGGAGCCTGTTATGCGGAGTATACATTTGGCCGGGCAGCATTTTGGAGATAGTTTCGGTAATTTTGAAAAGTGCTCTCTTCTGAGGAAAAATAATGGGGGCCGATTTGTGCGGCATCTCTCGTACGTACGTGCGTGTACGTGCGTGTGTCTCTCTCTCTCTCTCTCTCTATATATATATATATATATGTATATAATTCATGATGAAAATGTCATTCCGCGGTGCGCTCGAAACGGAAAGCCGAGCGGAAACGGGATCTCGAGACGATGTTGACAGCGCGCGATTACAATGCTTTAGATTCTCTAATGTTGCCGAAAATTGAATTAGGCATCTCGTCGCGGTAACCGTGTTTTTGACAAGAGACGAAGTCAAGAGAGGACACGGTGCTCTAATTAGCGACGACCACCAAGCTCGCTTCGATCCCGCACACGCGCAAGTACAAGCGTAGCCGCCGCGGAGCTTATATCGACTCGATTATTTTAATTGAAAATTGACAAGATAACTCTCGCGATGCAGCGAGGGACTGAGCTCGTTTCGAGCCGGATTCGAGATGAAATATCGAGGAAAATGGCAATTTTATTATATATTTCCCGTAAATCGAATTGTGAAATTCCACTTATCGAGTTTCAGTCATAAATCCAATTTCACGTTACAGCGAAATTCCGGAAATCGAGTTTCCGCGTATCCTGAATCACTCGCGACTAATTTCTCTATTTCGCGATAGGATAGGACTTCTTATATCGTCGACTTTCGTCATCAAACGCGATTTCTGTGCTACAGTGCCTGATGCTTATCATACGCTGCGTATTGCTACTTAGCGTACTAATGCATCTATTCATGTTTATACAACACGCGAGCGAGCACGCGAGCGATATCAAATCATTACGAATTAATCTTAATAGGCGATTAGATTAAAGAGAATCTATAAGCTAACGTTTACTTTTTTTTGTAAGAAATGCATATGCATCTTGAAAACGCGGTGTAATTTTAATAAATTTCAACGTTCTGTGATACGAAAAAAACCTAGGCTTTGCCTATGCCAATTCTCTGAAATTAATGAAGACTATTGATAGCGATTGTTGTTAAAAAAGACCGTTAAAAAAGAGAGATTAGCAATCCCCCGTATCTGTAGAGTCGAGATTTCTCGCTTTTAATCTCTAGTTTGGCTTTTAAATAAGCGTGACAAGTTCATAAACATTAACCCTGCAAAGCGTATATCCGAGATACGTGAATTTATAAACTGATTACTACTATTCTATTTTTCTGAACTGAAGACATAAAAAAGGATAAAGTGAAAATGATTCGACTCGCACGGGATTTCATCCGGGATATTCTCGGAGCAGCAAGACGGCAAGACGGTTCATTTAACTGAACGTTTCTTACGGTTTCTTTTTTTTCCCTCTTTTTGCGTTTTAAGTAAAAGTTCTGTATTTCTGCTAAGATCAACCGCGACTTCCCGGGGATTAATAATTCGAGTGACGACCGAGTCGCGACATTCGCGAGCCGGCGCTCGCCGGATATGAGAAAGCGTGTCGTCGACGTCGCGACATTTTTATCGCGACATTTATTCTCTCTCTGTTTACCTTGTGCGCTCTCAACGTTTTGCCCTCGCAGGCGAGCGTGACGTCGCAGTAGGCCTGCCGCTCGAGCAGCTGCGAGAACATGGTCTGCAGGTTGCTGTGATGGTACTTCCATCTCAGGCAGTACTGTTGCGGGAACATGTTGTGGGTGAGTGAAGAAGATGACGAGGACGACGATGATGAAGATAAGGCTGAGCTGGCCGTCGCAGCGGCGGGTGCGGGTGTCGTTGCTGTACAGCCTCGTTGTTGAAGCATGCGCGGCCCTGGCACCGCGAACTCCTCCTCGACCGAGCCGGCCACCGTCGCCGGCGGTCCGCTTCCAGTTCACCGTACTCTCGTCGCCCACCTTCTCCTCCCCCTGCGCCCCGCCAACGTCTGCAACGTCGAGAGGACTCGTGTCAAGGGACCGACACACACGGAAACCCGCTCGATATTTGACGTTTTCGCGAAATTTGCGAGAACATGGAACTTTCACACGAGGCGAGGCGCTGACGACGCGTGGTTACGATCTCATAGCGTTCTCTTCCCCTTTGGCGGTATTTTGATCCGGATTACGTCGTCATAGTTAATCGAGTAACAAACATTTTGACGATGTTAGGACGACGCCTAGATAATGTTTTATATATATAGCTTGCTAACTTGAGACACTTCCCGCATCTAAAACGAGATGGACATAGGACATGTAAGCATTGGGAAGAGAAAGAAAGGAAAAAAAAAAAGGAGTGCGGGAAGTGCACTGTGATGACGTTAATTCTCGGATCAAAACCCACCGCGATCGCTATTAGTCTCTCTAAGCACAATTTCACGTTTATAGAAGGTAGAAGTTCTAATTAACACCGATCAAATTCGTTACAGTTCCGGATGTAAAAAAGAGATTAGTCAGCCGACGATTGATCGCGACGAAACAAAATTTATCTAACATTTTTCAAATGTCTGTATATTTGGATAAGAATATGTTTTTTTATCTTGAAAATTTCTTGAAAATTTTTTGAAGTATCTTTGAAAATTCTTTGATATTGTGAAATCGAATTGTTTGCGTTGTTAGATATTTATCTCACCGGTTGTCTTTGCCATGGTCAGCTTTCATCATAATCGCTGGAATAAAAAAGAAAATTTGCGAAAGAAGTGATTACAAAAAGGAACATCTAAACGCTTCGCGTAAACTCACGCAAACGAGTTTGCGTCCGAACACGCGTTCTCGGCAGATATAAGCCAACCGGTCATTGTCACACCGGTATCGGACTGGCAGGAAGTTTACCGTCACCAAAGGAAGGAAAGAAGCCCCATCACGAATCGGATAAGATGACCATGCGCGAATGTTTATCGCGCTATCGTTCTTTCTTTATTCTTCATAAAATGTTTACGCTCAAGAGCGTATCGCTTTTCGTACCGTTACTGATATTCTACGGAGGACGTTGAACTCTACAGGGAAATATTTTGCACTCGTCTAATGTAGAGAGCGCGAATTGTGTGATCTTCATGCCGTTTAAGTCAATTTAATTGATGGATGGACGCCGAATTTTTCAATGGCAAAAGTTCTGTGAATTCGAGCTCGCGGTTTAATGTAATTTTTAGGCTTCTTTAGCTTAAAAATTTTTAGACTTTTACTTTAAGGCGAAATTCAGACACAAGAACATGTATACGAGATTTTCCGTTTCCTCTTAATTTTTACTTTACTCGTTAGATCCTTTACGTAAATTCAGAGTCTCGAGAAAGCTTGACGGAAGATTGCTCGTTTTTTCTACTTACTAAGTGAGTGTTCGAACTCCTGGCTTGAGATTAGACCGACTTGAGGGTCGGCTCGTTTCTTCGGTCTGCCTTCCCTCTGTAATACCCGCGCATAAACCGAGTTCTCAAACACGAGGATCCTTCAATTCGTCGCTCCTCTAGCTAGCAGCTCACCCCCTGAAATGCAAATAACAAAAACGCACGTTTTATTAACACATTCTGGGGGTGTCGTAACGCCGATTGGCGCGCGACCAAGATTGACGTGCAATAAATTATTCATCGTATTATGGGCGTATCCAGGATTTTTTTGGGGGAGGTTTTCATTTTGTTAACACAACAATTTTTTGCGTTAATGAATTGCCCTTATTTTAGAGCTTGGAGAACATCTCGTCGTTTCAGATCTTGAGAAAAATATTAAGTTTTATAAATCATAATTTAACTTTTTTTTTTTTTAATTTTGAGGGAGGGTTGAAGTAAGCCCTCCCCCCCCCTCCTTCCCTACGTCCATGTGTCGCATGTTCAAAGTGTGATAGTCAGCGGTATATTAGTTACGGCCGGTAGACTCGCTTGTTTTGAGTTGCGTGACAATAAAAAACAACAACCGATCCTCGTAATGTTTGCATTAGTCTCGCTAGCAATTTAAAGTCGCCGTGACAAGGGGGGCCGAAACCGCTAGGATTTCGATGGAATCAATTTTCGATGAGATATGAGAAAGGTCGCGTTTCGCTTGTACGTTTCCCACACGGCAACCGCAGCACAAACTCATCGAAATTATATCACGGAATTAGCATAAAGACTAATAATGATTCGAAGAACGAGTTTTTACGAGTATACCCCTTTTTTTATTTCCACTCTTCTATCGATTATCGTTTCGCTCGCTCTCCTCTCCCCTCTCGCCTTTCCGCGTGAAAAATAATCCCCCTTTCACGTCTCTGGAAAGTCATGTTTATTTTATAACGTTACACATAAAAATTCAGGTGTTGCTTGTCCGCGCGGTAAATAATTCCCTCGCGGATTAACCGCGCGCGCGCGGGTTTCTAAGTCGGGGGGAAAGAGGCGTAAGGGAGTTCGGGGGGCGTATTTTAGGTCGGGGGGGGGGAGGGGGGGGGGCAGCGCGACGCTGAACCGGATGAATCCCTCTTCTGTCGCGTCAACGTACGCCGATTACGAGGATAACGGCGTAGCGCGCGCCGGATAACGATGCCCGGCAATTACTGTTAAATCGATTTCTATCCGCGTGGCAGCTTGCTCGATCGCGCTATATATGTCGGCCGCGTCGCGTATTCTCTTCATACGCTCCACGGTACAGTTTTTGCAGGGGGGGGGGGAGGGAGGGGGGGATCCGCATTTGCTATAATAATACGATACCGGAGAAACTACCCGGCGGCGAGAAACCTTGGTAAATAACGCGCGCCGCGAAGCTTTCACTGCCGCGTTTTCTACGAGAATTTTCGATAGCTCCTTTTTCTCCCCGCCGGCCACGGCGAACTTTCACGCGGGCGGAAGGACGAAAATAAATCCTTTATTCGCACATTGACACCGTCAAAACCGTGCGGCGAAAGATTCCGCGCGTAGATTCGGAATACGCACGGTCGACCGAGTCTGATTAGGAACCGGTTGGCAAATTCGGATTTGAAAAAAAAAAAGGATATTTCGCATATTTCAAAATGCGATCCTCCTTGTTGCCTTCGATGATCTGAGCGGGATCTTTCTCTTTTGAATATCGAGATCCTCTGAGCTGATCGCAAATCTCTTGGCCGATGATTCATTCGGCCCCCTTTTCCAGGATTGTGCTTTTCAAGGACAATTTTCGATCGGGTCATTTTCTCAAGGCCAACGCGCGATCGTAATTTCGTAATTTCGTTAAGGTGACAAAAAGCTTGGGAATATAAAGAAAAAGAGAACAATGAGGTCGATCAAGTCTGGGAGACAACGCGGTGAAATTTGAGTAGTAAACTGCTCGCGAATTCTTGGGGAAAATAGAAAGGATGAAGTTCGAAGATTGTCAGTCTCTTCTCAAGTATTGTTCACAAAAAGATACGCGATTACTGCTATTCCACGTTGGCGTATTCCAGGTTCATAAACTCGCTGCAATTAATAGAATGAAGTAAGTCTTTAACGCCGAGATGTCTACATAAAATATGTATACTCCAAAGAGTTAGAACGTTATTTTCTCTTTAATTTCGGATCTCCGTCTTATCAAGTATTATTTTCCTCCCATAGGTATAGAAACGTTTTAGCTGAAATTCTGCGAGACTTTATTGAAACCTAAAAACGCGATCGTATCAAAGTAATCGATTAATCAAAGATCTTGATTAAAGCGTTGATAATATATATAAAAAAAGTTTTGCATGACCTGAATATCATCCTTTGACATCCGTATTTACCGAACCGAAACATTTCATTTGTGCGTTTTCTCTCGGGGAGTGAAATTTCAGCGAGCGTCTAATTTAACGATTAGAAAGAGAGAAAGAAAGAGAGAAAGAGAGAGAGAAAGAGAGAGATATTAAATATATAAAAATGCTCTTCCACGATTATAAAGGATGTTCGCGCGCGTAAACGATTGTTGTTGTCGGATGTAGACGGCATCGGTAAAACGCAGCCGCGATACAATTCCTACGTTACAACGTTCGCGATGTAATCAACTTTCGTATAAACGACACTCGAGTCCACTTCTCGCCGTATCAATTAGCATAAATATCAGGAGTGACTTGATATCGCGCGGATACCGAGAGCCGGAGTATCGACAACCGCTTGTCGTTATCGTAATCGTCATTTCGTTGTAATTTCGCCGCCTGAAACATTTACGACACGATTGGTGTAATCGATAACGAAAACCGATTAAGGCCGATTATAGTCAAAACTTGATTCCCACAAATCCGGTATAGTCCGCATTTATCCTTGGCACTTCGTTACCGGAGTGGATTTGTAAAATGCATTCTTCTCACCGTTGCCGGTGTATTCCACGTCAATAGTTTATAACGCGACTGAAAAACACGTTACACGTTGTATTAAAAAAAAGGGGGGGGAGGGGAGCGGAGAAAAGTACTTTAATTAACAAAGTAAGTTTTGCCGACCGGCAAGGAAGGTTTTAAGAATTAATTACGTAGAGAAATGTAATTTCGTAATCCAATGTTTGAAATCGCAAAGTATCAGATACAAAGAATATGTTTTTCGTTCGCGGTGGCAAGAGGAAAGAAGGAAATAATCAGGGGAAAATCAACGTGAAATTTGTTCCTTTCCCCCCAATACCCGTAATGTAAAAAAGGAATGCGATTCGTTTCGTATTTGGCTTGTCATTCACATAATAATTTTCCACATGGTTTTGAAACGTTGCGCGCGTGTTCCGAAAAGAAAAAAAAAAAAAAAAAACGAGAAAGGGAAAAGACGAAAGGAGGAGAAAAAGGACGAATCGAGGTGTGCTCCGAAAATTAATTTTGCAGCGAGAAAAATGCGCACTTCACCATTTTTACATCTCGACCTGTAATCCCGACCTGCCCGGGACGGGGGGAAAATAGCCGGCGACGTCGATCAACACGCCTGACGGAGGATTGTCAGGATGTTAATTCATGCCGAGCGGGTAACGACGAGCCCGGCGACGCGTTGCATTATTGAGGGTACGAGCTGCTCGTCGCGATAATTCGCCGATTATAGCCGCGGCTGCGACCGCCTCGTTCGTCCTGAGCAAAATGGGAATGCGAGCGAGCGCGCTCGTAAAAAGGGGAGAAGGATGAGCTTTAAAGAGAGCCCAACTACGCGCGCTAGGCATCATAAAAGCGTAATTGCCACGACGGGAGAATGCATATGTCGCGTAACGCTTGGAATTAATGCTCGATTCCGCCTTTCATATCATATCACAGATTCTTTTATAAGACACGTCGTCGTTCTTCTACACGGTCTTATAGGAGGAGTGAAACTTGGAGGCGCTGTGAACCGATATCGTACGCGATACTTGGCAATGATTTCTCGTATACTATTTCCTAGATGATAATAACAGTAATAATAAGAATATGAAAAAATTTATTAGACTCGGGGAAACGTAGACTCGTATGAAGCGTGTGGGAAACGTGATTACGTATTTCGAGATGTTATGTAGAGTAATATCAATTACAGCGATTATATTTTTTAATTTGTCTAAAAAAGAACGAATAATGATAATAATATCTTAATCTTACTGTGTGCACATTAATTCAATAATTCTTTAAAACTCTCGCAAGTTAAGATGTCGAAATACGCTATGATTTATAATTTACAAATTATAAATTTATCTGAAATCTTAGGATTGTTCGGAAATTTACGACCAAATTATTTAATTCTTAAATATTTGCATCGATTCTTATAGAGAGAAATCATATCATTATTTTTACATGTTCAAATTATTCGATACTCGAAATCTTTCTATAAAATATGTCTATCTTGCAATTGATCTCAGAGGATATTTATAACCAAAAGTTTTTATTATCTATTAGAGAAGAAAAATATTAATCACATATTAATTCCTTTCAAAATCATGAAAGAAACTAATATGTGATTAATATTTATATTATTTATTAACAGAAATCATACCTTGTACATATTTATTTTCTTTATAATTCAACTCTCTTGAGCTTTAAATAAAAAAACATGTTCTTTTCGACAACGTTTTGCTACTATTGTAATGTACATTCTTAATGGTTGTTTTATGTCTGACCAGCCGGATGTCGGAGATTTTTGTCATAATTCAGGTACTGACGGGGGGGGGAATGCGCGCAGGGGAGAGGGAGAAGATAGAAAGAGGGATACCGGGCGTTCGTAGGTATTCAGGCTTTGGCGCAAATACGAGGAATATCGCGAGTGGGACCCTCGTTCAGTATCCTAGATTCCCAGTACTTTCTATTGTATTTACGGTTCGCATAAGAACACCTTTCGCCACTGCCGAGGAAATACTTTGCTCCTACTCAATAGCAACATCTTCGTCGTACACGTTTCCTTACTTCCTCTTTCAATTTCCCCTCGTCATCGACAGGATACGACCAATCTTGGTGTATATGATGACAGTGTTCGCACCATAGTCCTATTATAGCTTTTTCGTAAATTACAGCACTCTCGCAACTGGAATTGTAATTCATCGAGAATTGTTTTGTCACTTCCTGATCAC